TGGAGTGAGTGTGGAGAGTGTGGGTGTTTGTGTGGGTGAGAGGGTGGAAGCGTGGGTGTGTGTGGGTGGGGAGGATGGAGAGTGTGGGTGTTTGTGTGGGTGGGGAGGGTGGAAGTGTGGGTGTGTGGGTGGAGTGTGGAGGTGTGGGTGTTTGTGTGGGTGAGAGGGGTGGAGAGCGTGGGTGTTTGTGTGGGTGGAGGGTGGAAGTGTGGGTGTTTGTGTGGGTGAGGAGGGTGGAGAGTGTGGGTGTTTGTGTGGAGGGAGAGTCTGGAAGGTGTGGGTGTTTGTGTGGAGTGAGTGGGTGGAGAGTGTGGGTGTTTGTGTGGAGTTGTGGGTCAAGTGAGTCAGACACGTCGAGCCTCGCGTCCTGCTAATGGTGATTGTGCCAAGTTCTCGCTTCACTCCAGGGAGGTGTTGTCCCCCATCAGGAGGCGGCGGCAGGTCCTGGGTAAACTGAACTTGTGCCGACGACCTCTGGCGGCAACGACCTCACCTCTATTGACATCTGTTGACTTGTTTGTTGTTTACGTTGTCTGGCTGTGACCTGTGTGATGGTTACTTCGTCAATCGGGTGTGACCTTGTGTTCTGAGGTCACCGGCCGGGCGGTTCGTTGATCAAGTGTGACCTTGTGTTGTGAGGTCACCAGGCACTGATCAGACGTCCTCGGTATTAAGTGATGACTCCGTCTAGTAAACAGTTGTGACCATTGAGGTGAGTGGTGGCCGGGCGAGGGGAGTTCTGTCCCATCCACCGATTTATAGTGAATTAAAAGATCCTGGCAGACAGTAAGTGTTCTTCACCTCGACAGATGTTCTCCACCAAACACTAAATGTTCTCCACAGGAAGTAGTGTGCTCCGCCTCAGATCATACAGCGATTAATGGCGGACCTTCCGATCCCCTCCTCGGTACAGACTGTTTACCCGCGTCGTGTTGCGACCAGACGATGTTTGTCGCGAACAAGTGAGGTCATGGGTTAACGACGCCCATCCACTTTACGAATGGACCAATCAGAGCGCCAGGGTGATGTGTATCAACAGGATCACTGTGATATCAAACCATCAGGGCACTCAGTCACCCGGGACGGTCTGCTGACGCGGCCGTAACCTCACGACGCGGCGGCGGTACGGACCTAGTACGTGAACCCACGGCTAACTTATCTAACCTAACCTAACATAACCTACCGTAAGTAGGAGGAGGAGTGAGGGAGAGACCGGGAGTAGGGGAGAGAGAGGAAGAAGAATGAGAAGACAATGGCGTTATAATGTTCTCCCACGTGTTATAATGTTCTCCCACGTGTTATAATGTTCTCCCACGTGTTATAATGTTGAGGGCGAAGGAGACATCTTGGGGCGAAGGAGACATCTTGGGGCGAAGGAACATATTGAGGGCGAAGGGAGACATCTTGAGGGCGAAGAGAGACATCTTGAGGGCGAAGAGAGACATCTTGGGGCGAAGGGAGACTTTGAGGGCGAAGGAGACATCTTGAGGGCGAAGGAGACATCTTGGGGGCGAAGGGAAACATATTGAGGGCGAAGGGAGACATCTGGGGCGAAGGGAGACATCTTGGGGGCGAAGGGAGACATCTTGAGGGCGAAGGAGACATCTTGAGGGCGAAGGAGACATCTTGGGGGAAGGGAGACATCTTGAGGCGAAGGAGACATCTTGAGGGCGAAGGAGACATCTTGAGGGCGAAGGGAGACATCTTGAGGGCAAAGGAGACATCTTGAGGGCGAAGGAGACATCTTGAGGGCGAAGGAGACATATTGAGGGCGAAGGACATCTTGAGGGCGAAGGGAAACATATTGAGGGCGAAGGAGACATCTTGGGGCGAAGGAGACATCTTGGGGGCGAAGGAGACATCTTGGGGCGAAGGGAGACATCTTGGGGGCGAAGGAGACATCTTGAGGGCGAAGGAAACATATTGAGGGCGAAGGGAGACATCTTGGGGGCGAAGGAGACATATTGAGGAAGGAAGGAGACATCTTGGGGCGAAGGGAGACATCTTGGGGCGAAGGAGACATCTTGGGGCGAAGGGAGACATCTTGGGCGAAGGAGACATCTTGGGGGGCGAAGGGAGACATCTTGGGGGCGAAGGGAGACATCTGGGGCGAAGGGAGACATCTTGGGGGCGAAGGAGACATCTTGGGGGGCGAAGGAGACATCTTGGGGGCGAAGGGAGACATCTTGGGGCGAAGGAGACATTGGAAGGAAGGGAGACATCTTGAGGGCGAAGGAGACATCTTGGGGCGAAGGAGACATCTTGGGGGCGAAGGAGACATCTGGGGGGAAGGGAGACATCTTGGGGCGAAGGAGACATCTTGAGGGCGAAGGAGACATCTTAGGGACGAAGGGAGACATCTTGAGGGTGAAGGGAGACATCTTGAGGGCGAAGGAGAGACATCTTTGGGGCGAAGGGAGACATCTGAGGGCGAAGGGAGACATCTTGAGGGCGAAGGGAGACATCTTGAGGGCGAAGGGAGACATCTTGAGGGCGAAGGGAGACATCTGAGGGGAGGAGGAGACATCTTGAGGGGGAAGGAGATATTGGGGCGAAGGGAGACATCTTGGAGGGCGAAGGAGACATCTTGGGGGCGAAGGAGACATCTTGAGGGCGAAGGGAGACATCTTGAGGTGAAGGGAGACATCTTGAGGGCGAAGGAGACATCTTGAGGCGAAGGAGACATCTGAGGGCGAAGGAAGACATCTTGAGGGGAAGGAGACATCTGAGGCGAAGGAGACATCTTGAGGGCGAAGGGAGACATCTTGAGGGTGAAGGAGACATATTGAGGGCGAAGGGACATCTTGAGGGCGAAGGAGACATCTTGGGGGCGAAGGAGACATCTTGAGGGCGAAGGAGACATCTTGAGGGTGAAGGAGACATCATTGAGGCGAAGGAGACATCTTGAGGGCGAAGGAGACATCTTGAGGGCGAAGGGAGACATCTGAGGGCGAAGGAAACATATTGAGGGCGAAGGAGACATCTTGGGGAAGAAGGGAAACATATTGAGGGCGAAGGAGACATCTGAGGGCGAAGGAGACATCTTGAGGGCGAAGGAGACATCTTGGGGGCGAAGGAGACATCTTTGAGGGCGAAGGAAACATATTGAGGGCGAAGGGAGACATCTTGGGGCGGAAGGGAGACATCTTGGGGGCGAAGGAGACATCTTGGAGGAAAGGAGACATCTTGGGGAAGGAGACATCTTGGGGCGAAGGGACATCTTGGGGCGAAGGAAACATATTGAGGGCGAAGGAGACATCTTGAGGGCGAAGGGAGACATCTTGAGGGCGAAGGAGACATCTTGGGGCGAAGGAGACATCTTGAGGGCGAAGGAGACATCTGGGGCGAAGGAGACATCTTGGGGAAGGAACATATTGAGGGCGAAGGAGACATCTTGGGGGGAAGGGAGACATCTTGGGGCGAAGGGAGACATCTTGGGGCGAAGGAGACATCTTGGGGGCGAAGGAGACATCTTGGGGGCGAAGGACATCTTGGGGGCGAAGGAGACATCTTGGGGGCGAAGGGAGACATCTTGAGGGCGAAGGAGACATCTTGGGGGCGAAGGAGACATCTTAAAGGAGACATCTTGGGGCGAAGGGAGACATCTTGGGCGAAGGGAGACATCTTGGGGGGCGAAGGGAGACATCTTGGAGAAGGGAGACATCTTGGGGCGAAGGAGACATCTTGGGGGAGGAGACATCTAAGCGAAGGAGCATCTTGGGGCGAAGGAGACATCTGGGGGCGAAGGAGACATCTTGGGGCGAAGGGAAACATATTGAGGGCGAAGGAGACATCTTGAGGGCGAAGGGAGACATCTTGAGGGCGAAGGAGACATCTTGGGGGAAGGAGACATCTTGAGGGCGAAGGAAACATATTGAGGGCGAAGGGAGACATCTGAGGGAAGGAGACATATTGAGGGCGAAGGAGACATCTTGAGGGCGAAGGAGAATTGGAGGGCGAAGGAGACATCTGAGGGCGAAGGGAGACATCTTGAAGGCGAAGGGAGACATCTTGAGGGCAAGGAGACATCTTGGGGGCGAAGGGAGACATCTTGGGGCGGAAGGGAGACATCTTGGGGGCGAAGGAGCATCTTGAGGGCGAAGGGAAACATCTTGAGGGCGAAGGAGACATCTTGAGGGCGAAGGAGACATCTGAGGGCGAAGGGAGACATCTTGAGGGCGAAGGGAGACATCTTGAAGGCGAAGGGAGACATCTTGAGGGCGAAGGGAGACATCTTGGGGGCGAAGGAGACATCTTGGGGCGAAGGGAGACATCTTGGGGGCGAAGGAGACATCTTGAGGCGAAGGAGATCTGAAGGCGAAGGAGACATCTGAGGGCGAAGGGACATCTTGAGGGCGAAGGAGACATCTTGGGGGCGAAGGAGACATCTGAGGGCGAAGGGAGACATCTTGAAGGCGAAGGAGACATCTTGAGGGCGAAGGAGACATCTTGGGGGCGAAGAGAGACATATTGAGGGCGAAGGGAGACATATTGAGGGCGAAGGAGACATCTTGGAGGACGAAGGGAGACATCTTGAGGGCGAAGGGAGACATCTTGAAGGCGAAGGAGACATCTTGAGGGCGAAGGAGACATCTTGGGGGAAGGAGAACATATTGAGGGCGAAGGGAGACATCTGGGGCGAAGGGGAGACATCTTGGGGGCGAAGGGAACATATTGGAGGGCGAAGGAGACATCTTGAGGGCGAAGGGAGACATCTTGAGGCGAAGGAGACATCTTGAAGGCGAAGGAGACATCTTGAGGGCGAAGGAGACATCTTGGGGCGAAGGGAGACATCTTGGAGGGCGAAGGACATCTGAAGGCGAGAAGGAGACATCTTGAGGCGAAGGAGACATCTTGGGGCGAAGGGAGACATCCTGAGGGCGAAGGGAGACATCTTGAGGCGAAGGAGCATCTTGAGGGCGAAGGACATCTTGGGGGCGAAGGGAGACATCTTGGGGGCGAAGGGAGACATCTTGAGGGCGAAGGGCATCTTGAGGGCGAAGGAGACATCTTGAGGGCGAAGGAGACATCTTGAGGGCGAAGGAGACATCTTGGGGGCGAAGGAGACATCTTGAGGGCGAAGGAGACATCTTGAGGGCGAAGGAGACATCTTGAGGGCGAAGGGAGACATCTTGGAGGGCGAAGGAGACATCTTGAGGGCGAAGGAGACATCTTGAGGGCGAAGGGAGACATCTTGAGGGCGAAGGGACATCTTGAGGGCAAGGGACATCTTGAGGGCGAAGGGGAGACATCTTGAGGGAAGGGAGCATGAGGGCAAGGGGATATCTTGAGGGGGAGACATCTTGGGGCGAGGGAGACGGGGGGGGGGGATGTGAGGCGAAGGAGACATCTTGAGGGCGAAGGAGACATCTTGAGGGCGAAGGGACATCTTGAGGGGCGAAGGGAGACATCTTGAGGGCGAAGGGGAGACATCTTGGGGGCGAAGGAGACATCTTGGGGCGAAGGAGACATCTTGGGGGAAGGGAGACATTTTGAGGACGAAGGAGACATCTTGGGGGGAAGGAGACATCTTGGAAGTATGGAGACATCTTGGGGCGAAGGGAGACATCTTGAGGACGAAGGGAGACATCTTGGGGCGAAGGGAGACATCTTGGGCGAAGGAGACATCTTGAGGGCGAAGGGAGACATCTTGAGGACGAAGGAAAGATTTGGATGGAATTTTAAAAAGGAAACGAGAGAAAAGAGGGGCTGAACTCCTCCTCTCCTTCCTATTCTTTTCTCCTCCTTCCCCTCCCTTCCTCATTTTATCCGACCTCTTCTTTCCTTTCTCCTTTCACGCCCTCTGCTTCCTCACCTTCTTTCTCGTTTTCCTTCTTCCTTCTTCCTTTTTCCTCCCGTCTCCCTTCTTCCTTCCTCCACCCTCCCTTGCCTCCCCCCTCCCCCTCTCCTCGCCTTCCTCCCTTTCTTCCTCCTATTGCCTGCCTTCCATGCCTGTCTTCTTTCCTTCTCTTCCATATTTAGCCTCATTCCCTCCTACTCTTCCTTCCTATACTTCCTTGTTATTTCCCATTTTCCTTGTCAATTACCTCCTGTTTCCCAATCCTTCCTTCTTTGTTATGGATGAAAAGATGAAACGATACTCACATGGATTAATGGCTGATGGTCGATGATTTAAAAATCATCGACGAAAACTCCCGGCATCAATATTGTGCAAGCGACCCCAATACAGTGTCGGCCTTGTGTACCGCAAGCCAAGTAAACGATGTGTAGTACTCACACTGTCCCCAAACACCGTCATGCTTATGGGACCAACTTCCAGTACTTTAGCCATTGAAGCTGCTGGGCCATGTAGTGCTGGGTCGTGTGGTGCTGGTCGTGTGGTTCTGGGCTGTGTGGTGCTGGGTCGTGGTGCTGGGTCGTGGTGCTGGCCGTGTGGTGCTGGGTCGTGGTGCTGGTCGTGGTGTTGTGGTGCTGGGCCGGTGCTGGGTCGTGGTGCTGGCCATGTAGTGCTGGGTCGTGGTGCTGGGTCGTGGTGCTGGGCCTGTAGTGGTCGTGTGGTGCTGGGCCGTGTGGGTCGTGTGGTGCTGGCCGTGTGGTGCTGGGTCGTGGTGCTGGGGCCATGTAGTGCTGGGTCGTGTGGTGTGGGTCGTGGTGCTGGGCCGTGTGGTGCTGGGTCGGTGCTGGCTGCGTGGTGCTGGGTCGTGGTGCTGGGTCGTGGTGCTGGGCCGTGGTGCTGGCCGTGTGGTTGGGTCGGTGCTGGGCCGTGTAGTGCTGGGTCGTGGTGCTGGTCGTGGTGCTGGCCGTGTAGTGCTGGGTCGTGGTGCTGGCTGTGGTGCTGGGTCGTGGCGGTCGTGGTGCTGGGCCGTGGTGCTGGGCCGTGTGGTGCTGGCCGTGGGGCTGGGCCGTGGTGCTGGCCGTGGTGCTGGGCTGTGTGGTGCTGGGTCGTGTGGTGCTGGGCCGTGTGGTGCTGGGTCGGTGCTGGGTCGTGGTGCTGGCCGTGGTGCTGGTGGTGCTGGGTCGTGGTGCTGGGTCGTGGTGCTGGCCGTGTGGTGCTGGGCCGTGTGGTGCTGGGTGTGGTGCTGGGCCGTGTGGTGCTGGGTTCGTGGTGCTGGGTCGTGTGGTGCTGGCCGTGTGGTGCTGGGCCGTGGTGCTGGCTGTGTGGTGCTGGGCCGTGTGGTGCTGGGTTGTGGTGCTGGGTCGTGGTGCTGGGTCGTGTGGTGCTGGGTCGTGGTGCTGCGCCGTGGTGCTGGGTCGTGGTGCTGGCCGTGTGGTGCTGGGTCGTGTGGTGCTGGGTCGTGGTGCTGGTCGTGTGGTGCTGGGCCGTGTGGTGCTGGGCCGTGTGGTGCTGGGTCGTGGTGCTGGTCGTGGTGCTGGGTCGTGGTGCTGGTCGTGGTGCTGGCCGTGGTGCTGGGCCGTGTGGTGCTGGGTCGTGTGGTGCTGGGCCGTGTGGTGCTGGGCCGTGTGGTGCTGGGTCGTGTGGTGCTGGGTCGTGTGGTGCTGGGCCGTGGTGCTGGGCCGTGTGGTGCTAGTCCCGAACATCATCTCACTGCACTTGGCTTTAGGTCGTCAGAGTATTGGTATACTGGAACTTTGAAAGGACCTCAGACCCACGGGGCCTTGACCTACGGGCCTTTGACCTAATGGGCCCTTGGCCTAAGGGCTCTAGACCCAAGGGCCCTAGACATAATGAGCCCTAGACCCACTGGGTCTCTAGACTTAATTGGCTCCCAGACCTAATGCTCCTAGACATAATGCGCCCTAGACATAATGGGCTCTAGATCTAATGGACCTCGATCTAATGGACCCCTAGACATAATGGGCCCTCAATCTAACAGGCCCCAACTTAACAATGAAACACCACCTATTCCAGTGGTTTCACCCAGCTATGGCTCCCCAAGGAGCCACGGCAAGAATTTAGGGAGCCACGGCGAGTCAGTAAATTGTACGTTTCCAAATAATGCTGGGAATCTGAATTAACAAAACTTGTATTACTTATTTTGACTTGGCAGAAGAGAATTTTCATTCTTTTTTGTCATTTTGTTTAATCATAACGACAATACAATTTTAATATTTACATACTCTGGTGCTATTTTTTATGGATTATTTAAGATCACAGGTCCAGTCCCTGTCTGTGTGACAGGCGCTGGACCGAGCTGCTGAACCGACTTGTTCAGTACGTGTCCGTGTCATCCCTTGCTTGGGGTGATAGGACCGAATGATCTCAGTCTGGCCTGGGATACCATCACGAAAACAGTGGAGGGTATTGTTTCTGAACCATATATTGTGTTTGAGCTTGACTTGCCAAAATATACTCCGTAATTGGTGTTACTTATTTTGTTTCATAATTCATGGTCGCTGCTTTACGTGGGTGAAATATTTGCACACTTCCTTTATTAATTATTTTATTTATTGGTGCCATTGTTGTTCATACTCATTCTTACTTATATAATCCCACCATTTTAGTGCTAAATTGGTATGACTCACTATTCTTCTCATTCTTCCGGCAGTGCTTGTCAAAGGAGGCGTGTTCTTGCTTACAGGAAGCACACACTTCAGCTTGCTAGCTTTTTGTGTGAATGTTTACCTGTGTACATGTTTGTGTATGATGTATGTGTGCTTTATGTGTGAGTGCATGGGCGTGTTATGTATGCGAATGTGTGTGTGTGTTTGTCATTCTAACTCTTTCTCCTATTTATCTGTCCTTTATCACTTGTCTGTTTGTCTGTTCTGGGAGCAAAATGAAGGAGGCCACGAGGATGTTGAAAATTCCTCAACGGGGGAATGGAGCGAGAAAGGTTGAGAACCACTGACCTATTCATTTGGACTGAGGACCCTTATGACTTCCTGGGGATGTGGAGGAGAGGGAAGGGGTGGGGAGGAGAGGGAAGGGGGGGAGGAAAGGAAGGGAGGTGGGGGAAGAAGGGGAATAAGTGGAGGTGTGGAGGAGGGAAGAAAAGGAGGTGTGGAAAGGAGGGGAGGGGGGGAAGGGGAATAAGTGGAGGTGTGTGGAGGAGGGGAAGAAAAGGAGGTGTGGAAAGGAGGGTGGGTGCTGATGGAGGAAGAAAGTGGTAGGGGAACTGAAGGGAGGCGAGGGATGGAGAGGAGGAGGGGGATGGAGAGGAGGAGGGGGGGGGGGAAGGAAAAGAATATTTACGACAGCAAAAGAAATGTTGAGGGAAATTAGTAATATTTAGTGCGTGTATAAGTGATGTGTGGGCCAAACTTAGAGATATTTCACAGATACGAACGAGAGAGTTGGTGCAAACTTTGATATGTGCTGGACGACGCTCTGGGGGGTGAGGGATGAGGGGAAGAGGAGGTGCGTGGTGGTGGTGGTGAGGGAAGGTGGGTGTGTGTTAGGTGAGGGAAGGGTGAGGAATAAGAGGGCGAGGGGAAGGTGTGTAGTGGTGAGGGAAAGAGGAGGAGAGTAATCAATCTTCAATCAGCATCATTTTTTGTTGGTTAGGTTAAGTTAAATGTTGCCTCAGATCCAGATATTCTTGTCAACTTAAAGAATAACTCAAAAATAAAAAATATAAAAAATGCATAACGAGTCAAGTAATGTTTATTAGTGAAGATTTTCCCAAACTTTAATATTGTTTGATTATTGCCAAAAAAATCTGATTACTTGTGAATAAATTGTTGGTAGAAAATGGAAACTTTTTAATCCACAAGATAAATATAGAATAGTGTGTCTCCTATGATATTCCTGTGTTCTCCGTCCATCATTCTGTGTTCTCCACCACTATTTTCTCTGTGTTCTTCTTCCACTGTTATCTCCGTGTTCTCCTCCACTGTTATCTCCGTGTTCTCCATCCACTGTTATCTCCATGTTCTTCCACTGTTATTCTCCGTGTTCTCCCACCACTGTTATCTTCGTGTTCTTCTTCCACTGTTATCTCCGTGTTCTCCTTCCACTGTTATCTCCGTGTTCTCCTCCACTGTTATCTCCATGTTCTCCTTCCACTGTTATCTCCATGTTCTCCATCCACTGTTATCTCCGTGTTCTCCTTCCACTGTTATCTCCATGTTCTCCTTCCACTGTTATCTCCGTGTTCTCCCTCCACTGTTATCTCCGTGTTCTCATCCACTGTTATCTCCGTGTTCTCCCTCCACTGTTATCTCCGTGTTCTCCCTCCACTGTTATTCCATGTTCTCCATCCACTGTTATTCCGTGTTCTCCCACCACTGTTATTCACGTGTTCTCCATCCACTGTTATCTCCGTGTTCTCCTTCCATGGGTGAGTTGGTCGGGTGAATGGATGGATGAGTGGTTTGGTCAGTGGATGGATGAATAGGTCAGTCAGAGAATGGGTGAGTGAATGGATAGATTAAATAGGTGAAAGGTAATGTGGAAATAGGGGATCGTGTGTGTGTGTGTGTGTGTGTGTGTGTGTGTGTGTGTGTGTGTGTGTGTGTGTGTGTGTATGTGTGTGTGTGTGTGTGTGTGTGTGTGTGTGTGTGTGTGTGTGTGTGTGTATGTGTGTGTGTGTGTGTGTGTGTGTGTGTGTGTGTGTGTGTGTGTGTGTGTGTGTGTGTGTGTGTGTGTGTGTTGTGTGTGTGTGTGTGTTGTGTGTGTGTGTGTGTGTGTGTGTGTGTGTGTGTGTGTGTGTGTGTGTGTGTGTGTGTGTGTGTGTGTGTGTGTGTGTGTGTGTGTGTGTGTGTGTGTGTGTGTGTGTGTGTGTGTATGTGTGTGTGTATGTGTGTGTGTGTGTGTGTGTATACGGCTCCAGTTCACAATGTTCCGAATATAAGGTAGAAGGGAACACTGTAACTTCTGTCTCTATTGACTATGACTGTCCTGAATAGCTACTGTACCTGAGTCTCTCGTTATTTGGGTTAACGAGACGGTCACTTTCGTTAACCACCGAGGAAACTTTTTTTTTTTTTGACTAGTTCCTCAGTGAGTTGCTTCCGTTAGAGGTAGTAGGAGGAGACCAGATAAGACGACTCTCTCTCTCTTAATCTTTCTCCTCCTCTCCAGTTTCACCTGCCCCTCCTTTTTTTCCCTTGTCTCTGTGTTTTCTCTTCCCTTGCATCACCTCCTTCCTAGCAGATCTAGCTCCTTGCCTCCCCCTTCTCCATCTCCTGCCTCCTTTCTTTCCCTGCCTCTTCTTCCCCTGCTCCTTCCTCCTTCCCTCCCTCCTTCCCTCCCTTCCCTCCCCCACCCCTGCCCTCCCTGATAGTGACGGCCAAGGAGTCATTGTCGGATCCATGATTTTCTCAGTGGTGTTGTTGGAGGAGCCCCTCCCACCCTCCTCCCCACCCCTTCGATCCTCACCTCTTCGTCCCTCACCCCTTCCCTCCCTGTCGTCTCGGCCAGCTGTCAGGGGAGGAGGGGGAAGGTGGGCGGGGGAAGGAGGAGGGAAAGGTGGGGGGTCTTTAGGAATAAGGGTGGGTGGGAGGACATGGGGAAGGAGGAGGGAGGTGGGGTGAGGGGAGGAAGGGAGGGGGGAGTTGAATGGAGGAAGGGGGAGGGAGGAGAGATGGAGGAAGGGGAGAGAGGTGAGGTGAGATGGAGGAAGGGGAGGGAGGAGGTAGTGGAGGAGGGAGGTGAGGTTGAGATGGAGGAGGGGGAGGAGGTGAGGTTGAGATGGAGGAAGGGGAGAGGTGAGGTTGAGATGGAGGAAGGGGAGGGAGGTGGGTTGAGATGGAGGAAGGGGGGAGGTGAGGTTGAGATGGAGGAAGGGGAGGGAGGTGAAGGAGGGAGGAAGGGGAGAGGGAGGTTGAGATGGAAGGGGAGGGAGGTGGGTTGAGATGGAGGAAGGGAGGGAGGAGAGGTTGAGATGGAGGAAGGGGAGGGAGGAGGTTGAGATGGAGTGGGGGGGGAGGGAGGTGAGGTTGAGATGGAGGAAGGGGAGGGAGTGAGGTTGAGATGGAGGAAGGGGGAGGGAGGTGAGGTTGAGGATGGAGGAAGGGGAGGGAGGTGGAGGTTGAGATGGAGGAAGGGGGGAGGGAGGTGAGGTTGAGATGGAGGAAGGGGGAGAGAGGTGAGGTTGAGATGGAGGAAGGGGGAGGGAGGTGAGGTTGAGATGGAGGAAGGGGAGGGAGGTGGGAGGTTGAGATGGAGGAAGGGGAGGGAGGTAGGAAAAGGAGAAAATAAAAACGAGTTGGAAAAAATTAAAGTATGGGAGAAAATTATTTTAGTTTCCTTCAAACTCCGCCCTGACCTGGCCCTTGGAGGTGGTCCCAGCCTGAGTTGGCTAGTAAAGGGCCTCAGTCACAAGGGTTCCTATTGAAGGGGCCTCAGATACAAAGTGGTTCCAATTGTAAGGGGCCTCAGTCACAAATGGTCCCATTGAAGGGCCTCAGTCACAAATGGTTCCAATTGTAAGGCCTCAGATAAAAGGGTTCAATTGTAAGGGGCCTCAGCAAAGGGTTCCAATTGTAAGGGGCCTCAGTCACAAATGGTTCCAATTGTAAGGGCCGCTAGTCACAAGGTTCCTATTGTAGGGCCTCAGTTACAAGGGTTCCACTTAAGGGCCTCAGTCACAAAGGGTTCCTTTGTAAGGGCCTCAGTTACAAAGGGTTCTATTGTA